GATATAATGATAAGAGTTAATATCTTTTGGTGTATATTTCAGTATAATTGTATTTTTATTACATTACTTTTTTTTTTACAATGATGTTAACCCTGTACAAGGCCCAAGAGCCACTCGAGGTAGAGGGTTACAGAGTTAGAGGCTCAGTTTATGGGGATATGTGGGGAGTTAGTGGTTGGCCCAAGACTTGAACATGTCAAGATTGTAGTTATCGGGGAAGCATCCTTCTTTTTGGGGGGGGTCGGTTCCAGAAAGTAGCGATTCCTGGGGAGAAGCTGTTCGAGTGGAACTTAGATCTCACCGATGGAATACGGAGGCAATGAAGATGGTTCCCTACAATGTGCCTGTCTTTTGCACGGTTTTTTCGTTTTCAACCAAAAATCATGCATTAGGAATGTTCTCCATCAAGTTGTCCGACGTTAGAGTGGTAAATCCTTTCGCAGAATATTTGCAGTGCAAAGCACCGATGACTTTCGATGCGATTGAATACCAGAATGTATACCTATTTTCTCAATATATGACTTTAATTTCAGTGACATAGACCCCCAACTACCCAATGATAACTGGAGAAACATTAGTCTGACGCCTCACATTCTTATAAAATAATAATAATAATATTATTATTATTATTATTATTATTATTATTATTATTTCCTTTGATTTCTGGTGTGTACCCATTTCGTTTCGGGTCCCGACCAGATACCTAAGGTCAGAAATGGCATCATGACATTTTCCACTGAGTAGTTTTGAAAAAAAATCGCACATATTTTGCCTAGACAAAGCTCCTCGTAAGGTGTGGGCTGTACTTGTGATTTCAGTTTATTTTATTTCTTTAAGGCCTGGGCTACCAGGGATTCCTTCACTGAGTCTATTGGAATCTTTTCCAATCAATCCGAGAGCTCCAACTACAAGTGGAATTGTTAATGTCCTCATGCGCCATATTTATGAGATTTCGATTTCAAGGTCCTTGTATTTTGATAGATTTTTGAAGATCTTCAAAGATACATTGCAGTCTGCAGAGACTGCCATGTCAATAAGGAGGCACATTTTGTCTTTGCGGTCTCTAATCACGATGCCTGGGCAATTGATTGTTCTGTCTGTGTGTATTGTAAAGTACAGAGCAACCTCGGTTCTCGAACGTCTCACATATCGAACAAATCGGTTTTCGAACAGAAAATTCAAGATGAAAATGCTTCGGTTATCGAACAAAATTTCGGTTCTCGAACAACATTGCCGAACCCAATTAACTCGAATGGAATCATTTCTGAGTCGACCGTCGTGCTGTATACATTTGTGTGTTGTACTGTGCTTTTCTTTTCCAATTTTATTGTACTTTGCTTTTTCTTTTCTTTTTTTCTCTCTTCATTAGTCGTCAGTCATGGCTCCAAAGAAAGCTAGCAATGATACTGGTAAAAGATAAAGAAAAGTTAAGAGATAAACAATTGTTGATGGCACTGTTTCTAATGTGACGATATTGTCTCTTCCTACTCAGTTTCATATGGCAAAATCAACGATCTATACTATTCTTATAAATAAAAAAATGATCATGTCTTTCCTTCCCTTTTCCAAACAATAACATCTCTTTCCTTCCTCTTCCACTTGCGCCATCAACTCTCCTATATATAGGTACGGTAAAATTGAAGTGTTTGTCTATATTTTATCTGTTTAGTATTGTTTTGTTTTTTTAGATTTAATGATTTTCATTAGTTTTATGTATTATAAGATTTTCATTGGTTTTGTGTATAAACTTGTGCACAAAGTACTGTTGTTAAAGTTTAAATAAGCAATCTTGGTACCAGGAACGGATTAATCCATTTTACATTAATTCCTATTGGATAAATAGTTTCGGTTTACGAACATTTCGGGTTACGAACGCGCTTAAGGAACGAATTAAATTCGTGAACCATAAAATTGTTACAGATTATTACTGTATAACATTATCTTTCTGAACTATCAGTGACTTTAAGTACTAGTGTCTTCATGACAACTGCGGACTGTCCCGAGCTGTTTACGAAGCTGGTAGATGAAAAGATAAAAGTTTGTGAGTTTTATATATGTGCCGTGTTCCTTCAAGACGTGAGTGATCATAGCTCTCCACAATTTCCTATCCTTCGTAGCTCTAAGCAATATTTGTCCCCTTAATGTCTCTCCTAATCCTTGTTTTTGTTATTCATTTGCACACGCTCGTTAGATATGGTACTTCCTGTTTACCTCTTCTGTTCTCGACTTCAATATGTCTTGTGAGTGTCAAATTCTCCAAGCCTTCTTCCTATATCGTATGTCCCTAAAATTTCATCTGACTCTTTTTTATTCAAAGTACAAATGTTCCTTTTGTTTTTATTTTCCCTGATATTTCCTCGTTGCTCACATGCTCTCTCCAGGATATTCTCAGCATCAGTCTCTAGAAGCTTTGTTGCCATAACCTTAGAACATTAACCATCAATTAAAGTTACACCACTACTAACCATGAGTATATCATACCCGATTTTGAATATATAAAAAAAAATATCAAATCTAAATCTTTATTTGAAATATTTTACATGAAGGCACTTCAAACTTTATACCTTGAATTAACATTAATAGGTACTGAAAATCATATTATTTAGATAAGAAAATCAGGTACTGAAAATTGTAATTAAAAATAGGAAAATTTGCGCTGGGTACTATATACCCATGGTTAGTGTTCTAGGGTTAAGTCTCTTCTTTATCTGTGAGGAAATTGTCCAGTATTCACTGCTATATAGAAGAATTAAGTCTTCTTTTTTGTTTGTTTCTAGCAAATTGTTCTTGTTTATATGAAAACATAATAATATTAATATTAAGGACTTAAAAAAAATAGGCCGTCATTTTAGCAACAGATGTAAATGAGACTGAATATAACTCAGCTATTTTGGTTATTTTTTAGTATAATGTGCCTTCAGGATATAAGTAATCATGGCTTTCACAGTTTCCTTTAGTGTGTGAAATTTTCTATGTCTTCTTTGGAAAGATAGTGGAACAGTTAACCGTTACCTTTTCTCGGTTTGGAATTCACTTTTCCTTCTATTAGACTGGTTACCACCCAAGGCTAAAGAGTTCAGTGTATTTTACTATTTAAACCATAGGTAGGGGAGAAGATATCTACTGTCTTTTTTCAAGGGTATTTGTTCGAAAGTGAATGCAGTAAACTAAGCAGTAATTTGAATCCGCCTGTTTCACTTTCCAAGCCGATATACGCTGCGCTTGCCTTTTGGTTAGTTTTAGACAGAACAGTGAAATGATATTAATAATTGTAATAACCCTGAAGTAACAATAGAAGAGGCTACCAACAGTTTACTGGTATTATTTTATTAGTATACGGCGTTAGAATTTTCGTTCCCATGGTGTTTTCAATATTCAACAGACCTTAAACGAGACTGATGACAATGTATACAGACGCGTACAAATGGTAACCAATTCAATCTGGAACAATTTCAAGCCAGCACAAATATTACATTACTACTGTGTCTTTGCCGTAAAAATGATGGCAATTGTTAGAAAGTTTTAATACTGAGATGCAATGAAACAAGTTTTGAAACAATGTATTGAGATTCAATAAAGCATAAAGAATTCAATGTATTGAGATTCAATAAAGAATTCACAACTAAAATAGAAGCCAATGAACCATTTAATTAATCCGTTTCCTTTATATTTTTAGATGTTCAATGGTTTCTATGATCATACTTATCATAAAACGCAGATTGTTTGTGTGTGTGTGTGTGTGTGTTTGTGTGTGTGTGTGTGCGCGCGCGCGCGTGTGTGTGTGTGTGTGTGTGTACGTTTATATATTGGATCAGATTTCCTACATTTTTCAACCGATTTCAACAAAACTTCACAGGACTACGTAAAATTACATTGCGGTGGTTCTGACAGCGACAAAAATTGGAAAAACAATTGTTTTTGCACAAAATCAATTTGAAAACACGATTAAGAGGCATCGCTGTCGAGAATTAAAGGGGGACAACTCATATCGAGTTATACTTATTATAAAACTCAGGTTGTTTGTGAGTGTGTGTCTGTGTTCGTTTATATATGGGATCGGATTTCCTATATTTTTCAACCGATTTCAATAAAACTTCACTTTTTTTGGCAGGTAGCGTTTCTTATTGTCTTGCACACTTTTTTCTTTATTTTTACATTCAAAATGCCTTAAAAATTCCATTTACAAGACAATTGTTTATAATAAAATTCTATTCAATCGGTAGACTCATAACGATTGAAAACAATGCTTTGTTTGAGTTTGGGTTTGACCAATTCGTAAAAACAAAACAAAAAAAACAAACAAACAAACAAAAAACAAAACAAAACAAAACAAAAAACTAATTAAGACATGCGTGTCCGTCAACCTTAAACAATAATCTTTGTCAATTTTATTTTTCAGTCTTTATGATGGTCGATACTTGATCTATCTCTTACTGTTACATCCCCGGGCAACGCCGGGCTCTACTGCTAGTATTATATTAAAAATCGATTTTTGCTCAATATCTTTTCATATTAATTTTTTTTAATTTTATTTTATTTCGCTGTTATAATATATATATATATATATATATATAGAATATGGGAGAAGGGAGTAACGAGGGAATTCTAAGTGAATTTCTTCTTTTTGGTTTCTTACTAAATTATTGAAAAAAAAAGACCAACAAAACAGATTTAAAACTTAAGACGTAATTTCATCTTTACATGCTTTTATTTTTATCTTTTATCTACGAGCCAGCCTCTCCCAGTTCCCACCCTTCCATCAATCGACCTCAGCAAAAGTAATAAATAAAAATAAATAAATAAAAAACGCGTTGCAGGTTTTTACGCCGAAATCCAATCTCTGTTGACCCGAAAACACGTCAACCCATTGACACGTCAACCCATCTCGTCTATAAAGACACCGCGCTTTGAGCCATTCGACAAACCCTTCAATTTCCAGGACTTTTTGCTTATTGTGTTGTCCGTGAACGCTGGTGATTAGCACTTCTCAAAAAAGCAACATGAAGACAATTTTCCTGATCGGCCTGCTCATTGCGGCCGTCTCTGCGTGTAAGTAATTTTTTACGATTCTTAAATCATTTTTTATTTCGTTTCTCCAAAATGAACATGTGTGTAGTAATTTCGGTAAAGTTGTACAATGTACAGTAGCTCATATTGATTTTTTTTCACTTTGTTTAGAAAATCAATATTGCACTCAATGCACAAACTGGGGTTAGATATGATAAGTACTGACACCAAAAATTAGATTAATATCTTTTACCAATTTTTGAGCATTTAGTTTTAAAGATCGTTTGAAAAATGTACATTGTACAGAAATACCTAATTTTAACAGGTTTTTGCTTACAAACTGACTTCAAAATTTTATTATTTCAAGAATAAATGCAAATAAAGTTGATAACTTTTGTATTAGATACATTCAATGGAAAATACATTCAAACCAGAATTGTAATTATAGATCACCACAAGCAAAAATATGCAAATTTTTACTGTATTCGACAAGTAAAAACTGTATAAAAAAATTGTAAAAGATTATAAAAAAAAGGCTATTCAATGAAGAATATTTGTTAGATGATAATTAATAAAAGCAAAAAATAGATAACGCCATAATAAGGCTGGGTGAAAAATTATAAGACAAATGTTTTAAATTTATATTGTTTATTGAAAATTGCAATAAAACTACTGCACTGTATAACTAAATTGTTCAATATAATTTCCCTTTGAGGTAAATGAAGGTTTTATTTGATGGCACAATAATTTAGTAATATGTTTTGGCCATGCATCTTGTCCATATACAATTTGTAAAGCTCCAGTAAATTACAAATTTTATAAGGCTGTGCTCTAAGGCTTTCACTGATCACCAAAATGAAATTCCAACGCTACAATTTTGAACCTAAACTTAATCTTTAAACAGAAACTCATTTCCTCAAAAAACGGTAACGGTTTGGAAAATATTTTGTGTCATGATCTATCATGTCAAAACTCAACTTTCATACTGAATGCAATGTTCCAAGTTCCTATGGGCACTGCGACCAGAAATAATCTTTTTTTTTTTTTTCATATGAATGAAATGTGAAAAATATTGAAACATAATTATTGATTAAGCTGCAATCCGAATCACAAATATCAAGAAAAAATGTTAAATTTTATAAAAGTTAATCAGCTGGAGTCCAGTCTGCTATGTAAAATAATTGTGTAAATTAAATTGTTCGGAAATCGAATTAAAAACTTTCACATATCATGTAATTTCTTAAAAAAAAGGTATAATGAATATTTTGAAATTCAAAATTTGGAGTTTTTTTGTTTGTTTGTTTTTTTTATATATATATTACTTTCGATTAAGCACTCCAAATTACGAATTTCTGGAAAAAAATCCTGATTTTCAAACAAAAAAAACTCATGTACTTTGAGCATATTTTGTTTTGATTTTCGTGAATTTACAATAGACATACCAACACCTGCTATGAACTTTTAAAAAATTAAAAACAAATCATATTCGTGTTTCAGACTGTTTATTAGAGTAATACTTTTTTTTAAATTATTATTTCTGATCTTTTTTTTTTCTCCCAATTTTTCCATTCCTCCTCCTCCTTCTTCTTCTTCTTCTTCTTCTCTCTCTCTCTCTCTCTCTCTCTCTCTCTCTCTCTTTCTCTCATTTCCATTTCCCTTTTGTATTTCTTCCTCTTTCTATCTTTATATTTCGTTTCGTTTCTTTCTTTTTTCTTTCTTTCACCTTTCTACTTTATCTCTTGTTCATTTCTTCTATATTGTTAGTCCTTTCTTGGTGGTTCTGCTTCAATGCTACCTTCCCCATTGTCTAGAGCAGTGGTTCTCAACCTTTTTTTACCCATGGACCCCTTTCCCCTTCTTTTTATCTTGGTGGACCCCTTCATAGCTATTGGACATAAGAACAATTTTCTATTCTTCACTAATATAAATTTTAAGGTTTTAATTATCAAAGAAATAGTATACGATTAAGCTTTATTTTTAAATGAAAACTAATTTAATACAAATAAAATATTCTACTATAATTATAATAATTATTATTATTACTATTATTGTGATAATAACTACAATATTACAATGTTTCTTCCATGGTCAAGCAACTGTTTTGCCTGTGGACCCCCGGAAATATTACATGGACCCCTAGGGTCCATGTGAACCCCGGTTGAGAACCACTGGTCTCTAGAGCCATTACCAGTTTTCACTCTGATCATTTGGGGCAGCTGTCTCTTTTTTGCTTCTCAACTATTCTTTACTAGAGCTTTCGGTTCCTATTCTCACTGCTGTAAACGGGGCCGCCCCAAGGAGTATCCAATTGGTAGCTGTTTTAGCGGGCCTCAAAATTCATTAGTCATCGAAAAAGATTTTCTTAGGCAATAAGTGTCCTTATTATAAAAACAATTAAAAGCTATTTTTAAATTTTTAATTAAATAATGTCTTAGTTATCGCATTTTTTATTTTACAATTCAGAGCAGATTTTCGTTACTGATGTCTAGTTCGACAAAAAAAATGGTTTATTCTCCTAGGACTTGTCCTTAAACTAAATAAACATTAAGCGCTACAAAAAGAATTTCTCGAAATTTCAAAAAAATTAAATAAGTGGTGAGTAACAGATGTGAACAAAATATGTATTTTTTACCAAGTTCGAATCGATTAGCAATTAGGCTTAGTTTATGTTTTGCCAACCATTGCAATAAGCAATAAATAGATAGTGTTTTATTGTCAATTTTCAAGAACAAAACCGCAATTTTTCCATTGTTTCTAGCCTCCGCGAATTCTAAGATAATTTTTTGTTTTCCATGCAATTTACTTTTCAATCCATTAATCGCCACCGTAAAATACGGTATTAATTTAAAAAATAAAAATCCGGTATAACTTTTAAAAAAAAGAATCCGTTATTAATTTATGAATATTCGGTATTATTAATCATATGAAATGACGTAATGAACAGGTACTAGGTGCCTCTAAGTCTAAAGATTCGCAAAAAAAATTAGCATAATGAGAAAAAAAGGCCTAAACGTAATAAAAACCAAGTTTTATCGTCAAAATCTTTATTATTATTTTTAAATTTTTAGACTAAGAAAGACCAAAGGATTTTTTTGTTTATAAAATTATATTGTTACATCCTTTTTAAAACATTCAAAATTTTGGTTATTTTTTTTTCACGCGTCAGCAGGGGACTATAAATTAGTATAGAAAATGTTAGCGTTTTTTACAGTGAAAAATACATTGATTTTGAATTTTTTTGAAGAAACAAATAATTGTAGGATTTTAATGAAACTCTCATGACTTATTTACAAATAAATTAAATTATTTCATAAACGTTTCTTTTTTACAAAATCTAGGTAAAAATATATTTTTTTATATTTGTTACCCTCCCCTATTTATTTAATTTTATGAAACTTCGAGAAATTCATCTTTGTACAGCTTAATATTATAAGCAGAAGCCCTTGGAGAATTTAAACCATTCAATTTTTTGGTAAAACAGGACCCCAGTTACTGAAAATCTGCTCTGAATCGTAAAATAAAAATAATGTAATAAAACTAAGATATCATTTCATTAGAAAAGCTTTTAATCGTTTTTTTTAAACATATATTATGAATACTGTCTTTAGAAAAACATTCGATGAATAATGAATTTTTACAAGAATTGTTTTCATTTTTTTTTAAATTTAATTAGAATAATTTATAAAGTTTTATATCTTTTAAAAGTCTTTATAAAATTTGTACTGGTAAGGTGGTATTTTTATTAAGTAAAACTATATCATACTAATCATAAATGGAAACGCTTACTACAATTCAGCGACCCCAGTATTTTAAAAAGAATTTTCCGTGTGTATATAAATGTGCTGATTTTTTTTATAAATACGGACGTCTATACACGATATTATCAGAAAATAAGAGCGGTAACTATAGTAAATTTAAAGAAAAAAAGTACCTAAAATGCCTAAACGTACCTAAACATGAGATTACTTAAAATATTTTTCCTAAATTTTTAAGATTACTCAGTAGTTAAAAATTATATAGAAAAGTGCTCACGTTATATTCGTCAAGTAATTTTTACAGGTATGTCCCCCATAGAAAGAATTCCAAATATAAGTCTATCAAGATAGTTGTCAACACAAAAAAAACACCCACCTCCATGTTAAAAATGATTTTCTATGATATTTTAAACTAAAAGTAATATTTATTTCAAATCAGATTAATTAAACTTTAAATCCGCTAATCTTCAAATAAATTTCAGAAAAGTATAAATTATTTTTGAAATAGTTTTTCTTAATAAAGAGAATTGCATTGTGCTGAGGGAATTGTAAAAAAATTGCTAAAATCATTTTTAGCGATTTTTAAATTTGTTTTGAAATGCAGTAAATTATTTTACTTAATGGAAATATTAAAGCATGAAATTAAAACTAAAATAAAAGATTCAAGAAAGAATTTTCATTTTTTTTTAATTCATTTAAAATCTTAAGGTATCTCTTTTCTTTGGAGGTATACACACACACACACACACACACACACACACACACACACACACACACATATATATATATATATATATATATATATATATATATATATATATATATATATATATATAAAGACAGGTTTCGTTAAATAATTTAGACATGTTCTGTCTACTTATTCTTGATAGGATCGATGTTCCGGTGAGCTGCTGGATCGTGTAATTTGAAATGCATAACGAAACCTGTCTTAATGAAAATATGCTGCCGAAATATATGCATTTCAAATATATATATATATATATATATTATATTATATTATATTATATTATATTATATTATATTACATATGATGTAAAAACTTCTGTCAAACTCGCTCCAAAAGTAATGCCGCGACTTTTATTATTTTAGTTCACAATGGCTGATGTTGATTGTTTGTCAATGGGGGTTCAACCCTCATGCCAATACCCCAGCTGAGCGGCTGTTTGCAAAATGGTATCTAACATAAACGTGCACGAAGCAAAGGTGTGCCATTATGGAAAAAAATAAATTATTGAGCGTTTATGGAGACCTAACTATAAATGTGAGCACAGTTAGGTTATGCTTACCTCGTGTGATATAGTGATAAGCCATGGCCCGAGTGCGGCATGGAAGATCTTGTTTATCGCTGGTGGAAAAAAAAAAAAAAAAACAAAAAAAAAAACATAGCCAATAGTGGTGATTGCATGAAAAATATTGGACTTTACAACTGAAATCTTATTATTGAGCACTCTGTTTCTATTGCAGCTTCGGTAGAAATAAATAAGACCCATTATTTTGGGGATTTAATTCAAATAAAATGCATAAAGAAATCAATAAAATCGTATCTTTTTATTAGGACTGGTTTTCTTTTACAAAAGCCATTCGTCTTAATCCAATAAATATTGAGATTGCACATTGCCAATTGTAGAAATGTTGTGTTACTGTTAACCAAAATTTTCTACGTGCTAGAAAGGAGTAAAAAATTTAAAAAAATAATCAAAAAATACATTGGTCTTTCCTCTTCATAACAACATAAACATATTGAGACAAAACTTTGTTTTCGCTGATTTATGGACCTTTTTTTCATTGTGATATGCTGCTTTTTTACGTGGCCTAATGGAGGTACCTACAAATCTTGTGTTTTTGTTGACACTACGTTTTTAATGATTTCTTAATCATACTTGCTGGTTTAAACTGATGGCGTTGGAGTCACCATTTACTCTCGGCTGTGTAATAAATTGTAATCCCTACCCTGCTTATTAATTTTTTGGCAAAGTTTAACCTTCGTACCCTTACCCACCAAAAAATCAGTGAGTCAAAATGACGTTTGTTTGTTTTTATATCAATATTATGATTGAGGAATCGGAGAGCCGAGTTCGAATTCCAGTTGAATCCATTGCATTCACTTACGTGCAAAAACCCTTGGGAAAGGTATGAATCCTCTTCTTCTCCCTCACTCCAGCAATGGGTAAATAGCAGGACAGACCGGATTTTATAGCCGTGGATGGCAACTGGTCTACCGCAGAAAGAAATCTGCCTCGTCAGTTATGTATCGAAAGATACATGTTCGCCTAAGCGTGTATCACGCATGGCACATAATTGACTGGCCATTATTATTGTACACTCTCCCAATTTTTTAATGGAAACTTCGTAGAAAATACAAATTTAAGTTCTAATAAAATTATCATTGAGAATTGGAAAATTGATTTGTTACAGATTCTAAAACCATATTTGAATTATATTTCATTCAGTTCTGGAACTTAATTCGAATTAACAATTCAAAATAATATTTTAGTTGTGTAACACGTCGCCGTTTCTCGTTTTTTAAAAAAGATATTCAAAAGAAATGAATGAGAAAAGAACATGTTAAACACTTATTCTACTGCAAGCTCTTGCAGCATCATGCATAAATATTCGAATGACTGGTGGTAATAAATTACCGTTACCATACTCGCGATATGGTAATACTTTCCGACAATGTCACTAAGACGCAAAGGAGGGCGTTACTGGAAGTTAAATTACATCCGGCAACAAATTACTCTCGGTTAGTTTGTAACACGTTTATTTATCATCTCTCAAGGGCGACTCAGTTTTTCTCTTTTGCGACTCTGTCCTTTGAGGATAGAGTCGCAACTGAGTAAAATTATATTGAGAGATACCCAGCCCTGGGGAACAGCTGCTCGAGGCCGCGCCCTCTCATTGCACGGTGCTCGCACCGAGACCAGTACAACCGACGTTTACGGGGGCTCGGGGAATTTTTCGGGTGTACGCGCTCGGACATTGCAGATTCTTCTTTGGATTTTCTCATGGATTTCTAAATATATAGCAGGAGCACCAGACCATATGTAACAGCAATATTCAAAGTATGGACGAATGGTAGACTTATAAATATGTAAGATAGATTCAGATTAGAAAAATTGTCTAGCACGACACAGTGAACTACCTTTCCGAGCAGTAGACCTAGCAATTCATTCAATAAAGTCTTCTACTTCTCTTTCACTCCCAGTAACCCCCACCTTTCCGTCTTAGTGACATTATCGCTTAGCTTGGGGTGAAATGATTAAACCCAAAATGGCTCGAATTATGAATGAATGATGCCTATATTTTTGGAAAAAAACGTTTAAATCATCAATTAATGATATCCGCTGATCTCCCGATAAACAGTTAATGACGAAAAGCCTCTCATCAAATTTGCTGTTCTTATAATATTATTTACTTATATTTTCTGTATTTTTTACTATCTTGTCATTCTTTTGCATGATTATTATCATTCGACTATTCTAGTATTCTACCTTTTCTTTTCTTAGTCTTATTCTGTTATACGCATGCAATTCCTTCTTTTTACTTTTCGTACATTATCCTTTAATCTATTATTCTCAATTTGCTTTTATTTTTAGCGTTCTTTTTTTTATATATTATTTCGTTATTTCTTTTATTTTGTTCGTTCTGCCCTGCTTTACTGTTTTTATTTTATGCTACTTTTGTTGTTTTTTTTTTCTTTCTATTTAGCACCGATTACGGATCGCCTTGGCAAGATCGAAGCAAACCTTACTCACCTTTGGGGTATGGTTCATGACATGGAACACCATCATGGCGACGGTGTACATATTCACGTCCAAACCGACGGACCAGATGGTGGACACAGTCACGAAACCACACACTTGGACAAGGATGACAATGCCGCTCATGTCTACCTACACATGAACATGGACATGCATGATGACTTCGGGGACATGTTTGAAATGACTGAATTCTCCGAAATGGAAGATGATTCCATGGAACATCATGGCTTTGACGACGATAATGGCCATAATCATCCAAAGATGATGCAACACAAAAAAGGTCAACATCACCACCACCACCACCACCACCACCATCATCATCACGGAGGTAGGTATACAAAAATCTGAATATATATATATATATATATATGTGTGTGTGTGTGTGTGTGTGTGTGTGTGTGTGTGTGTGTGTGTGTGTGTGCAAATATATATAAAAATAGGAAAGAACACGTTAGGTAAATAATCCGAAGTATTAGTATTTTTGTTTTTATTTACAAAAAAAAAAACAAAAAAAACAGCGCTCAATACAAAAGTAGAGCCTAAATTATAATTATTTTATATATATATATATTAATCATATAGTACCGTGGGATCAGTGTGTGCAATCTTAACAATATAAGATACACGAATGACACTGTTGATGGCTGACACAGAAAGAAAACTACAGGATCTCCTAGACAGTAGCAGAAAAAAAAAACAAGAAAAAAGAAGACAGAAAATATTATCATCAACAAATGAAAAATCCCAAGATGCGAGTTACAAATTGGAGATGTCAACATCAAGTAAATACAAAAGCTTAAATAGTTGGGAAGTGTTTTAACAGAGGATGGATAATTGTTGTAATGGAATGTCCAACACTCCCTATCGCCTATGTGGACTGACTATATCAGCAGCAATATATAGTGAGCACAGAATATAGCTGGGGGCAATTCGACAATTAGTTGGTGGAGATTCGTCTCCAGCTGTGCTTGTCGAACTCTCTGCCTTCGGGTAGAGAGGAACCCAGTAGAGGCTATGCCGAAAGGGCAGAGTCTGGTCTCGGGTAGTAGACAGCTACCTGACACCGTGTATACGGGGTCTATGGAGAATTTTTGCCCGTACCTACGGGCTCGGTTTTGACCCCGCATTAAAAAACGACCTTGTGCTACATCCTGCTTCACGGAGAGGTAACATAAATATCCTTGCTTCTGGAATTAGTGAGGAGATTCGCCTTCAGCTGTGCTGGTCAAACTCTCTGCCTCCGGGCAAAGAGGATCCCCAGACGAAGCTATGTCGAAGGGCAGAGTTGTTGTTGCTATTATATATCATTAAACGTATTGTTTCACGCTATAAGTAATATCTTTGTTGTTGCTATTATATATCATTATATATTTAGCATAGATTAGGTATTAAAGGTACTGCTTCATGCTATAATTTATATCTTTGTTACGGAATGCACATTCTGGGTTCGATTCCGTTTTATGCTTAAACTATTTCTATGTCTGTAGGTTCATTGGAGGCTCATTGTGACTTGATCTCTAACTCGGACGGCAAAACTTCAATGGGACACATTCATTTGAAAGAGGTAAGTAACGATATATGTTTGAAGAGTCAGGGATGCAAAAGTGTGGACATCTCCCTAAATGCTGTTGGTCAAGTGTAAAGTGATTTGAACGCAGGAACCAAAAAATTTCGAAGAACAAAAATTTCGTAAATTTGGAAAAAGGCAATGCAATTTTTTTTCAAGCGAATGTAGATCTTAGCGAACTCTACTCTACTTCGAACCACGTGGACTGGCTCTAAAAAAATTGCAAACAAGTCATTTAAAGTTTTGGAGGTGCAACTATATACCGTTGTATCATCAGCATAGATATTCACAAAAGATCGGATACTTACATAAGTAGTATTATTAGGAGTAATATTGTTATGATTTTTCCCCAATTAGATGGAAAGCAACTAAAATTAAAATGAAAGAAATGCGCTTCAAAAATCAATAATGTTCAAGATTATTACATTTAAAAGTGTTTTATGCAATTTGGGCGTTATTTGTTTTTCAATGTCTCAGGAAAAAATATTACCAGCATAGAACGGAAATCAATTTTGCAGTAATTTGTTTTTTAATCATATCACCCCAGGCAAAGCAATAAAGCCATGAACTCACAAGAGGTTATTGAATATGAAAGAATAAGAAAAAAGAGAAATATTAAAGAGCGAGAACCATTGAAGGGTAACCAAGAGGACAGTAGATAACGATTGGCATTACACTTATTCTTTTGAAGATCAAAGTTGAGTTCAAATCATGGGAGCAAAAGAGAGTTCCACAAGCAAGTAGTGCCAGAAAAGAAACTGTTAGAAACTGTTAACTTACGGTTACATCTAACCAATTCAACGGTGAATTGATGAGACCTTGTTGTTATATTAATTTATTTTGCATTTCAGATGCATGGAGGAAAATTGTCTGTCGATGTTGACTTTGATTGCCCGAGCAACATCAGCCCAGGGAGCAAGCTTGGCCTTCACGTACATGAGGGTTCAGACTTGAGTCAGAACTGCAATTCTCTTGGAGGACATTTCAACCCTCACAACGTAAATCACGGTTCGAGATTGAGCCCGATGCAGTGAGTTCTTGCTTTGATTTTCTGTTACGTCAGGAGCACGTGTCAAATGTTAACTCTGTCAATATCTGTCTATATTTCTGAGGTGAGGTATTATGTACATTATTTACATTATTCGGACTATTGTCCTCATCTTTGTCGCCATATTTATTACAACGTTTCGGCCGTTGTACGCTCCGGCCTTCTTCAGGTGGTTGGAATTTCGAACTGAACCCTTTATTTCGCTCACTGGGGTAGACTGTTCTAGTTCCACGTGCCATGTTTAATGGATGTCAGTTATCAGTTATTTCCTGTTGATTTTCCCTCTGAAAGTTCTCTACTGTCTTAGCCGGTTATTGAACTCACACTCTTTGGGTCCTGTCACTGGATCTAACCAACGCCTTTATCCACTGTGCCATGTGTCCTCAAGGACATGGCACAATGGATAAAGATGTCCTCAAGGATTTAATGAAACATTGTCATAACAACAACAAAGATGAGAATGTTAGTCTGAATGCAAATAATGTAAAAAAAGGAAAACTTATCCCAGAAATTCACACAGAAATTAACTGTATTTTTTCGTTCTTTTCCATTCTATCGTATACTAGCAGTAGAGCCCGGCGTTGCCCGGGGATGTAACAGTAAGAGATAGATCAAGTATCGACCATCATAAAGACTGAAAAATAAAATTGACAAAGATTATTGTTTAAGGTTGACGGACACGCATGTCTTAATTAGTGTTTTTTTTTTTTACGAATTGGTCAAACCCAAACTCAAACAAAAACGTTGTTTTCAATCGTTATGAGTCTACCGATTGAATAGAATTTTATTATAAACAGTTGTCCTGTAAATTGAATTTTTAAAGCATTCTGAATGTAAAAATAAAGAAAAAAGTGTGCAAGACAATAAGAAACACTACCTGCCAAAAAAGTGAAGTTTTGTTGAAATCGGTTGAAAAATATAGTAAATCCGATCCCATATATAAACAAACACACACACACACACACACACACACACACACACACACACACACACACACACACACACACACACAAACAACCTGGGTTTTATAATAAGTATAACTCGATATGAGTTGTCCCCCTTTCATTCTCGAGATGCCTCTTAATCTTGTTTCAAATTGATTTCGTGCAAAAACAATTGTGTTTTTTCAATTTTTGGTGCTGTCAGAACCACCGCAAGGTAATTTTACGTAGTCCTGTGAAGTTTTGTTGAAATCGGTTGAAAAAAAAATGATCCAATATATAAAATCCGCACACACACATACACACACACACACACACACACACACACACACACACACACACACACACACACAACCTGGGTTTTATAATAAGTATGATACTCATGTATTAGGCAATTTCATATATAGTGTTACCATGGAATATTTTTTCATGAATTTTAAACCTTCGAAAAAAATACCTGCAAACGGTCACCGAAAATGAATAATTTTTAACGACTTCAAAAATGACTTGTGTATAGTGCAACCCCCTATTTTTGTGTCAAAAATATCTGACCATAAAAATTCGCTTCCTCTTACTTAGGGAAGCTCAGAAAACTGTGCCAGCTTCTCAGTTGATGCTGCTACAAAAGTTGACCTAAGATCAAATCTAACCATTATGTTAACCTTTGTTTTCTATGGTTATTCGGTGTCATATTTATTAAGCTGAAAAGAAAGTCCTGTCGCATTTGACAATGGAAAGGAAACAAAAGCTACTCTGATCTTAATTGATATATTTAATCAAGTTTATATTTTCCCCCGTTTATAATATCACTCACAAAACGACGAGGAGTCTGGGGTGACAGTTCTCTATGGTTTCCATAGCAAGTTGGATTTTATAGGATGGAGTTGCTACTACCATGCCCAGTCATTTATGAATTCAGAGTTGTTCTTCTCCTAGACTGGATGCCAGCCTGTTGTGGTCTTGTTAGGGGCCAGAAATAAAGACATAAAGAGAGGAATTAAGTTAAAGAAATATATTAACAGAAACAGTAATACAAATATATACAAACGAGAGTGTTACAGCAAGAATGTTCAGTCCAAATGTCAGAGCTAATTATGCATTTTCTTTTATTTCTTTCAATAGAAAAGTTTTGATTTGGACAAGGGCTTTATAGCGAATATAAATGTTAACTTTTATCTTATCCTCACTTGACCCCCTCCGAAACTCGTCCCTGAACGCCAGGTTAAGAAACCCTGCATTAGCGAATTTTCTGAAGAAGGACAGAAAATCAACTGCTTGAAACTTAGTAAAAATAAATCAAGATGAAAATAATAGCCTCCATGCTTCAGCGAATGATAAGAATACTTCATTTTTGATATTCAAACAATTCACCGTGCTTTTTTCTTTTCTTTCAGACATCGCCACGTTGGTGACTGGAGCAATTTGATTTGTGACAGCAAAAACAAAGCGGACGATAAGTTTTATGAATATCAGACGAGCCTATCAGGACCTCACTCCATCATGAATCGATCAATTGTGGTATGTAATCTTTTGGCGTCAGAGAAGTTTTCCGTATTTTTTTTTTAAAAATGTAAACACACTGTTATTTTTTCTGCTAATTTACGAGTGAATTTTGAAAAGGCAGATGTAAATTCTTTCTATACAAACACGAATGTCGAACAATGTCCATACCTTGGTAACGTACTAACATCAAATGCATCCGCTGAAAAAACGTCGATAACCGAATCAAGGCCACCCACGCAGTATATTCAAAAGACTCTTCGTCAATCCTGGGTTAACACAAACCACCAAGCTCATGGCTATTGTAATCCCAACTGTAAGATCTGGGTACTTTACCGAAGAGATATTCGCAAACTTGAACGATTCCATCAAATGAAACTGACAGGACCGGGTCACGAACAACGAAGTTCTCCTCTGCGTAAAGATGGAAAACCTAGAAACCACCATGACTCGTCCGAATGTCAGACATCTGCCTAACCCTCTTCTTGAAGTTCGCATCTGGTAAGAGACCACGTCATTGATTCAAGGATCAGCTCAAAAATACCCTTGCTGAGGACAAAAATCGATCAGGTCAATTAGGAGAGGGAAACTCCAGAAAGAACCAATTGGAGAAGAACAGTCCACGAAGAAAACAACATCCTTCGAAAACTCCAGAAGATAAATAGAAGAGACAAAGAAAGGCTCTCTATCTCCAGAATCCTCCAACCCTGCCATGCGGTGACTGGGCGTCTCTTCAGATCCAACTTAGGATTCATTTCGCACAGTAGGAAAGCATCAAGATACTCGGCATCGAAAAAAAGTTTTCATTGACCAAAACTTTGCCTGTATATTTTTTTATTTGAACGAAAACTAAATAACACAGATGGAATATTTATTAAAAAATATACTTTTAAATATTGTTATGCAATTGCATTGCACAGACTGTTACGTCACACGGCATAACAGCCACTGCAAGACCATCATGCAAGTCACTGTTGAAGGCGGACGCCAACGGAGACGGCAATGCAAAAGCTGGTCAGCCAACATCAATATGTTGATGGACATAACAATGCCGGAACTCCTGAGAGCCACCGCCAACAGATCATCCTGGAGGAGGTTGTCTGTTTCTTCTGTTCTTAGGTGTTGTAGAGTAGTTTTCACAGTGGAGGCTTGTATTTCACTAAGTCGGTCCTAAATTAGGTTCGACGTACAAAACGTTAGGAACTTGCAATAATATTTAATGACGCAGCAATCTAGTTGTGGGGCTCATACTTTAATGTCCGACATCGACTGACTCACACAACTCACTGAGCTTCACTGGCGACTGCTACTACTACTAATTATTATCTGTGGGAGAGTCTATTTACAATAGAAATAGGTACGTTCCGGTATAACATTAGGTAACCCCGACGATTTAGGCAATTAAGGGACTGATCATGATATAATTACCACTTATGTTGTAAATGCAATTTGTTTGCTGTCAGCACTTTTATATATATTACAATGTGATTGTCAACGATATCAACTGTTTTGTTCTACCGATCTAAGGCGGGGACACACAGCTGGTTGACTGTTTTTGTTTGGCGGCATATCAATACCTATATGGGTCATTTCATCTAAATATTTTGTACGCAATTATATTTTCTTCGAGATTACTAATTAACCCATAGCTGGGGAGAAGAAATGGTGGATTCATACCTTTCCTAAGGGTATTTGCCCCTAAGTGAATATAACGAACCTAACTGGAATTGGAACTCGGTTCTCCGATTAAAAATTCCGAGCCATTATCCATTACCCCACTCGCGCATCCAAACTTACAGCACCTGGTATTCGCAAGCGGTCACCCATTTCTGTAGTGACACGTATTTGACCTTGCTAACCAGACGCTTTAGCTAAATGTAGCACGTCAGGCTATATGACGGCTCCGTGTAGGACACAGGTTCGATTCCTGTCAGAGAACACATTTTCTATGTAATTTCTCGGACATTCAAGCCGGTAAATTTTGTTAATACTGTTTATTTACTTAAATATTTGTATCTATAAAAAATAACGTATAAACAATAAATATATATACATCTCTATCCCAATATTTCTGGCATCTAAAAGAAACGAATAAAACACCAAAAGTAAAATGGAAAATAGTAAATAAAACAAGAACTTGTAAAACCTGGGATGACCCATGCCCTTTATGCCTACACGAAAAACTACACATCATTAAATTTCTAAATAATGAAAAATTATTAAACCATAGACAGGAGGTTTTTTGCCGACATCAACAAACTTTCGCATTAAATAATTAGCATAAAAAAATCCCATAGCTTAATAAAAGTCTTAAAAGCTTAGCCAAATCATTAAATAGGAAAAACCCTTTCTGTAGTCGTCAAAAAACAAAAAAAAAATTGAAATTTAGTGCAGTTCGGTTTGTATATAAAACACCCACTTGAATAAACAAATAAATAAATAGATAATCAGATGGACAATAATAAAACACAATCCTCCCGACACATAACGACTTGTTGGCGCGCCATAAAAATGTCCCGCACTGGGAACTAACTAAAGGATGACCGCCAACATTAGCCTTGAAATAGATACCCTACCCAACCTTAGCAAAACCTCTCAGAAGATGATGAATCTATTGATAAGAATTAACTCTCTGACCACTTAACGAAGAAAACTAGCATAGCCACTCCCACAATAACGAATGTTATAACGGACCATGCCTAAAAACACACGTAAACCGAGAGATAGCTTATTCCTAAAATTTCGCTTGAAGATGAAACGAGACTAAACACCTCAATTCAATAATTATTTGGATGATTTCGGCTCTCGTTTTTGAAACCTGAGAACTCTTATGTAGCGAAGGAATCATATTTTTAAACAAAAAAATATTATATATATATATATATATATATATATATATATATATATAAACATGCGCCTGGAACCATCATCCTCTCAGACAGTTTTTCACCGACTGATCAGATTCTGTCCCATGCTTTGGTTCGATTTCCGTTTGCATCGGAGTGAATAACACAAGTAAAAGGCCGGTGAAATATCACACAGAGAGTAAAACCTTGAATACAACCGTGTCGAGATATCGTTGGGATTAGAAAGACAAGAATTCTGTTGGTTCTGACAAACTGGGTTCTTTATTCGTGGATTGACCTAGAACTCTCTGTGGATATGCAAGTGAAACTTCTCTGATGCTTTAGTCTTCTCACACGATTAACAGACCAGATATTCCCGCCGACAAGTGAAAACTCCGTCTAATTTTACATCTCCTCTTACTCTGACAGTGACTCAACTAGGCTAACTGCCACTGCGATTGCCCTTATCTAGAATGTGCTCGTGACCGGAATTCCCTACCTTCCGACCAAAAGTTACTTGATTCCGAAAGTTTTTATTTATTTTATTTTTCCCTGTTTGTAGATGGCGAGTGATTGCTTTGAAACTCCCACATCTCGATCTTACTGTTGGTTATCGTAAAACCGTTGTTGCTTCATGTAAATTTTGTTACCGTTCACTTGAATACGCGGGTCTTTTAACCAATTGAACCGTGACCCAGTGTTTCACAAATATATAATCCGGGCTGTTTTTTCTCTAGCAATAACAAAATACAGAGCACACGCAGTTCTGTATATCTTGATTTTTTATTTTTTTTTATTTTTGCTTTTTTGTTATTGTTGTTGTTTTTTTTTTGTTTTGTTTTTGTTTTTTTTTTTGGAGAAGGGCTTCCATTTTTGCCTCCCCTGCCCCTAATTTTAGCCCTACCCACGTAAGAATTCAACGTTGCAAATTAGAAGGGATTGCCTTGCTTATCTACTCCAGATGTACACTCAAGGTGCATGTTTCACACGATTTGCTTCGTGAGGCAAGTCTTGTAAAATTTCCCGTGTCCGAAATTGCAACAATTATTGTCTATGCGATTTCATGTCGGACGATTTTTTTTTTTTTTTTCATTTCAGATTCATGCTGGAACCGATGATCACGGCAAAGGAGACAGCCCAAAAAGTAAGAAGTCGGGTAGTGCCGGAAAACGTCTGGCCTGCTGCATCATCAAAAAGAAAATGGATAATGGCCCACACTAACCAACAAATAGAATCATTGGCCGGAAATCAAAGAGTACGTTATAAAGAGTACGTCGCCAATGTGAAAGAGAGAATTAAAAATTTAGATTCATGAAGAACTTTTGTTGATTTGTTATTTCCATGTTTTATTCATAATAAATCTTTTAAAATTTTACCACCAGAGATGGGGATGGGGGGTACAGGAAAGAATAAATCGTTGAGTTCACCATTCTTTGACCTTGTACTAATATTCCACTTCGAAGTTTGGTGAAACACACTTTCATAAGTCTTTCCTTCCTTCATTCTGCCCTTGTACCTTTCTAAGCTATGCTCTGTAAATATATATGCAATGACTTTTTGTTTTGTGGCAAATTAATGAGGTACACTCAGTTTGAAATTGCTCATAGGCAAAGAATACGGTAAAAAGCTAGTTTAGATATATATGAATAGAATTATACACACACACACACACACACACACACACATATATATATATATATATATATATATATATATATAGTGTGTGTGTGTATGTGTGAAAAAAACAAATAATGTATATCTGTAAAAAGACTATGAATAAAGAAAAAAAGAAAAATTATCTTAGCCAACGCGTTTCGTCCTCTGGAGAATTTTATCAAGGCAAATGCAAGGATTTTATTTTGTAACACGTATTTACATACAAGAGCAAAAATGTTACTGGCTTTTCAGAATTTTTAATTTTAGTAACGTTCATAAATATTCATCAGGTTAGCTGAAATGTCAGGCAAGCTATGGAGGACACAAAGTGTTACAATTCAATGCCTAATAAATGAACCTGAGTAATATTCTTGACATTTTTTAATGCAATTGATCTAGCGAGACAAGTTTGCTAACCATTACACCACGGCGAAGTCGAAGTGCTCTTCAATATAAAAGTTAAATTTCTTTTGTTTTTAAAGGAAACCCGCTTGATGTAGGTACTTTGAAACACAGTCGGTTTAATAGAGCTTTTGTTAAAAACCATACTAACTGTTATATTCCGTGCTAATAGCAATATATACTTAAACAAGGCCGAGTTTTACGTGAGTCTTCTGTGCCTGTAGGCTCGGCCAAAAATATTCCCTTTCAAAGTCGTATAAACGGGTTCAGGGTCAGTCTACCTTCCTGAACGAGACTCTGCCCTTCAGCAGAGCCTCGACCGGGTTGCTCTATGCCCGAAGGCAGAGAGTTCGACTGTATAGCCGAAAAAGATTTCGGTTAGTCGATCCAAGCTAGTCTCTGTAGTCCGTCGACTTACAGATACTTGTAGGTAGTTACTACCTATAGTGTAGTCACTCATGGGGGGCTGACAGGTTATTCCATTACATCACTAACATTGAGCAAGAGTAATATCACTCTCCGAAAGATTTTAGAAGCATCACATTAGGTAATACATGACATTTATAAATAGTTTTACTAATATCAGTTTTTTCGTGTAAACCCCTTTTGTTTCATGTCGAAAATGTACTTGTGTCTAAAGTTAAACATTAGTCGAGTTTAAAGTTGAATCTAGAGGTAAACATTGGTTAAGTTTATACTTGAATTAATAGACAAACATTTATCGCCATACTCGAATCAGCAAGCATCCAGCTGGTACTTGGCTCCTTTTGGATGTAGGCCTTAACTATCTACAATAAGTTCTGAATTGGGTAAATATATGATGTACGATGAAGCCTGTTTGATAGATGAAGTAAAAGCGATCCCAGTTTTAAAAAAAAAGGTCCAAATTGGATGGGCTATGAAATTTGATGGAGCCGGTTAGGTAAATGTAGTAAATGTGAGCCAAGAAACCAAACGCAGGATTTCGAATTATGTTTCTTCAATAATGTATATTGTTTATGCTTGAAAGATAAATGCAACATAATCCTTTCCACTATTTGGCCTTGTGTCGGACAAAGTTTAATAAATATTTATATCCGTTATTACACTATATAGTTTCACCCGGTGAGCACCTTGGCGTGGTGTAATGATTAGCAAGCCTGTCCCGCTAAAACAGTTACGACTGAATAATGTGTTCGATCCTCACTGAGTTCCCCATACTTTCAGCCTTGTGCCGCATCTATGCTACCCTTAAAAAAATCAATATAGTTTCACCCGGTAAAAAAATCCGATGTTTAGAGTGACAGGAGTTAGAGCATTGTCTTCTGGGTACGTAGAATGTGCATGCTTTCAGAAACAGCATTTTAAATCCCGGCTTTTCCCTCAGTTTGAAACAACGCTAATGCGGAACTCGCAGCTACAACTCTCCATATTATGTATTGATTTACTAAGCTTAGGTTAGATGTGGCACAAGGCCAAAAGTATGGGACACCCAGTCAGAATCGAACTCACTACACAATCGTAACTATTTTAGCGAGACAAGATTAGCGGTTAATATTACCATTCCCAATACCGTTTTTTAGACTGATTGCTACGCAGGTCTAGAGAATCCAGTTTATCCTCATATCTGGCGGGAAAAGAGATGAACTCTTGCTGTTCCCAAAGACACTCCTATAAAATGAACACAAATTGCTTCAGCTGGAATTTGATTGCAGTTTCAATTTCTTATGTGCTTAATTGCTCATTCACCACCAATTTACTAATAACACTTTTTTGAATGTTATGTCCCTGCAGGGCGTAGGCAATCATTGAATTCTAGAGTTTCCTTTTCATTATTATCTGTAAATTGCAATGCCTTCTTGGGAAAGATAATGAAGCAGTTTCCCTTTGCTTTCTCAACGCTTTAGACTTGTCCTTCTCCTAAACTGACTACAACCCTCTCCCCATAACTAGAGAGTTCAGTTTATCCCGCTATTTAACCCATAACTGGAAGGAGAAGAGATGGTTTAATGTCTTTTTTAAGGGCGTCAGTGCAAAAGTAAACGCAGTTTATACATACACTGTAAATCGAACCTCTGACAAATTCATTAGTCTCCGCTTTAAAAGTTAATTTTCTCCTCAAAAGTTAAAAAAAAAAAACAGAAACTCTTGTATTATTGAGACCAAGACACAGCATGTTGTGTCTAATGCATCTTTATTGCAAACCCTCATTTGCGCCAACTCCCTTGCTTGTCTACATGTCACGTTTAGATCTCGTCTTTTAGTATCATCTATACGAGAACTCGGGGATGCACGCTGGAGTAATAGATAGCGGTTCGGATTGAGGAATCGGAGAGCCGAGTTCAAATTCCAGTCAACTCAAATGTGCTAATATCCTTGGAATGACCTGGCACCTCGGCTTCAGTCACTTGCCCACCGTCCTAACGTAGCTTTCATGGTAATTGTTCTGAAGAGTTGTCACCTTTGGTACCTAGACTTTACGAATTTAAAGAGAATAAGAAGGCTTTACTGAGGATTCATACGTATGAATCCTCTTCTTCTCCCCCCACCAAATATGGGTAAATAGCAGGACAGACCGGGTTCTATAGCCTTGGATGGCAACTGGTCTACCGCAGAAAGAAATAGCAACATACTACAGGAAAAAAAAACTCTGCCTCGTCAGTCATGTATCGAAAGATATATGATCGCCTAAGCGTGTATCACGCATGGCACATAACTGACTGATTATGAACTCGTGACCGGAATTCTCTACCTTCCGACCAAATGTTACTTGATTCCGAAAGTTTTTATTTATTTTATTTTTTCCTGTTTGTGGATGGCGAGTGATTGCTTTGAAACTCCCACATCTCGATCTTACTGTTGGTTATCGTAAAACCGTTGTTGCTTCATGTAAATTTATTTACCGTCCACTTGCATACGCGGTATACCCAGTCAGAATCGAACTCACTACAACAGAAACAAAGATCAGATTCTGGCAAAGAAGGTTTTACGATACATAACAAAATGTATTTTTATTTAAAAAAAAAAAAAAAAAGAAAAAACTCTTTCTAAATAACATGTAAAAATTGAATATGGAAAAACCAAATGGATGTTGAATTCTTTTTTTATTTAAGTGATAATCTAAAAGTCGTTACCCTCGCAACATTGCTGCACAAAACGCTGCTGCCAAGTAGCGAAACATCAATATTTAACCCATTTACCTGCCATGATCTCCATTTGGGAATCTGTTAAAATTAAACTCACTGCATGTTATTCCTTGTATTTACATTGAATTGCTTACATACATTGCATTTACAGAGGTATATTTTACAACACTTGGCCTTTAAAGTTTTTATTATTAGCCATAAGAAGAAACTTTCTGTCGTAATTTTACATTTCACGAATAGAAAAATAATAACTATTTTGAAAAATGTTTTTTTATTATTTCTAATCAATATTATTTTTTGATGTTTTATACACATATATATTTGATGTTCTAGTTTCTATAAAAATGACAATGGTAACTACTGAAATTAAACATAACGAATAAATAAACTCCTAAGACACCTGTCTAGGCCACAAATGCAGATTAAAAATGTGTCATTTAATGGGTTAATTAAAAAGAAATTCAACATCACCTATTCATTTTTACATATTCCATTTTTCATATCAGTTATCATTTTAAATAATATAACAACTGGTGTTATTGACATAGCTATTGTTCTAATGGGCTTTCCTCTTTGGTTCCTCGACTGCATGAATTTAAACGTATGATGAGATTGGCAACAGTTTTACTGTTGAAATATCTAACTGCCACAGTCTGTTCTACTCTAATAGTTTCTCGCCCGTGGAACTCCCTTCCAATTTCCTGCCACCTATAATCTTCAAAAATTTAAATGCGACGCCAATCGCTATCTTCTGTCTTCCTGAGACCTGTTCTTTTATTGTCCTTTCTCCTTACTAAAGTCTTCTCATTCTCTTTAAATTCGTAAAGTCTACGTACCAAAGGGGGCAACTCATCAGAACAATTACCATGAAAGCTACGTTAAGACGGCGGGAAAGTGACTGAAGACGAGGTGCCAGGTCAGGACTGATAATATTACAGATTCTCCTTTCTCCATGTCTAATTTAGCGTTCAGGTTTCCCATGGCGCTTGTAATTTCTTGCACTTAGAAACAAAGAAAAGACTGATTTTTTTTAACCATTTCACCCCAAGCAAGGCGAAAGTACCACTAATACGCAAGGGGTTACAGAGATTGAAAGTAAGAGTAAAGAGGAGTGTTTGAAGAAAGGATAAAGAGAAGGACGGGGAACAAGATCGAGTCATCAGAAGATGTCGATTGACATTACATTTAAATTTTTGAAGATTATAGTTATCATGGAAGCAAGTAAAAGTCAGGAAATGCGAGAAGAAGTTGTTGGAGTAGAAGAGGCGGATACATTTAACTGTTTCAGAGTAAACGGGTGGGACCGAGATGCCAACCTAGTAGCACGCTTAAATTCATGCAATTTGGGCACCAGTGAAAATAGCTCGTTAGAGCAGTTGCCGTGAAAATATTTGTAGAAAAGACAGAGGGAAGCCACATCACGTATGTGAGAAAGTGATTAGAGTCGATATGCCAGGTCAGGACCTATAACATTGCATATCCGTCTTTGGATTTTGTCGAGGACCTAGAGATGGACAGCAGGGGGCGCCATTATTCAATGCAATGGCGAATGGTAGATTTGAAAGATGGACTCAGGCGAGAAAAACTTTCCTTGCGATAGATGTAGTTATTGATTCAATGTAGTTGTTCCACCTGAGGTCAGTGGAAAACGTGAGACCAAGAAGGCGCAGAGAGACGCTCACGTGAAGTTGAGCATCAGCCATACTGACTGGAGGCAGGGAAGTTTCTTTATGGTGAGAGAGCAGTTTCGTTTTGGATGCATTAACATTTACAAGCCATTTCCTGCCCCAGTCAACCACATATTGGAGGTCCAGAAGTAAATGGTAGTGTCGTCTGCATAGATGCCTACTTGAGGACTGATGACATCAGGAAGATCGTTGATAAAGACCAGAAACAGTGTAGGACTCAGGATGGAGCCTTGGGGAAAACCAGCGTTCGTATGAATGGAACTGGAGGAGAACTCGTTTTCAACGAACTTCATTTCACGGTTTGACAGGAATGATTGGATTAAATCAAATAATCGCCCTGTAATACTGTATCCCTGAAGCTTACGTAGAAGGCCAACATGCCAAACCATATCAAACGCCTTAGAGATATCTAGAGCAACAGTTCGAGCTTCGCCGTTATTATCAAGAGTTCGGTATACAAATTCAGTTATGGCCGTAAGCACGTCAGCGGTAGACCAAGCAACGCGGAAACCACATTTATTGTCAGAGAGTAGATCATGAGAGGTAAGGTGCTTAACCAATTAGCCATTGATTAAAGCCTCGAAGACTTTACCGAAGAGTGGTAGGAGACTGATAGGACGGTAGTTAGATGGGCCAGAAGGATAACAGATGGAGACTTCCAACAGGTTGGGAAACAAGAGTCAATGAGGCAATAGTTTTATAGTTTGGAGAGAACTGGAGCCAGTTCAGGAGCACATTTCTTTAGGACTACAGCTGGTATACTGTCACCACTACTTGCTTTACGAGAGTCTAATTTAGAGATGATGTCCAATGACATTGACGGGGTTATGCTCATCTCACTCAATAGATCCTCAGTTCTAGGGGGGAAATCAGGTGTGGGTACTTCAGACGAGTCGAGTGTTGAGTTGAGAATTTCGGTGCAAAGCATTCAACCTTGTCGGCTTTGGAAGTTAGAACTTGGAATTGATTGAATAGAGGAGGAACTGTGGATTTGCTGTTGTTCAGCACACTCTTGCAGAGCCGCCAATAATCTTTAGAACCAAACTTGCGAGATGCAATACGTTGCTTCATTCTATCAGCAAATAGTAACTTTGCTTCATTGAGGACGCGCTTGCACTCATTACGAGCAGAGACAAAGAGAGGTCTGTTGCAAATCAGGCATGTCGCTCCGGTACAGACGGACGAAGTGATTCCTATGGACTACAGCAGAATATCAGTCCTATATAGCCGTGAATGCGGAACAACCTCCTCACAGATGAAGAAGAGACATGAAGCAACAGAAATGTAGTTCTACGTAAGGATACTGAGAATTCCATGGGTCGAACATGCGAGCAACGACAAAGTTCTTGCATCAATGGCAACAAAAAGGACAGTTATACTTAACATCAGGAAAAGCCAGGTAAAATTTACAAGGCACATGAAGAAAGAGGGCTTGGAAAAACTGATACCCACAGGACAGATTGAAGGTAAGACAGACAGAGGAAAGTAACTTACCTGGCGAACTTGAGTGAACGGGTAGCGGAGAAGGGCTTGGGAGAGATGGCAAAGAACAGGAAATTGTGGGGAGCCATCATCGCCAACGTCCTGAAAGGACACAACACATAGAAGAAGTTGCCTAAATTTAGTATTTTTTTTATTATTTTAATTTTTTTTTCATATGCACAAAGAATTTTGCCCTTAGACAAAAAAATGTTAACCAACTACAGCATATTTCCGTCAATGGCAACATCCTTATTGTTTATTATAATAAAAACTCTATTTGGCCAATAAATACACAGTAAAAATAAAAAAGCAGAAGTATTTAGGAGTGGTATGAGCAATTAAACAGTATTTTTTTATATATATAGCTATAAATTTATTTATGTGACTTTTAAAGCTCTCTGCTCGACAGAAAACAATAGTTGGTATTTGGATTAACAGGAAAACGCATCGCCTGCTCGAATTGATTTGCCAATACGAAAGAAAGTGGAGGCTCGTTCAGAAAGCTTACACTGAAAGTGTGGTGAGATTTTTTTTTCTTTCTTATTTTTTTTAACTTCTGTTAACACTTACCGTGTATATTTTGAAGCTAATATGACTACAGTAAATGCATATATATATATATATATATATATATATATAGGTGTAGATATATATATATATATATATATATATATATATATATATATATATATATATATATATATATATATATATATAAAAAAGAAATATGTTGTAGTGGTTCCAACGAGAGAAAAGTATGTATATTAAAAAGAAGAGAAGAGAGGTGCCGCAAACGTTTTTGGTTGTAATGTGGATTTATTTAGAAAAATATTATGCTTTGTTTTACATAATTTTACGACACGTGTTTCTGGTCTTGCGACCGTCTTCAGGTAAAAGTGGAGATTTCTACATATTATTAAAAATAATTAATTTTTCTTCATGTTCAATGTGAAATATTCTCGATATGAGACATTCTCTGTTTGTGTGTTGGTAATCTTGCGGCACCTCTCTTCTCTTCTTTTTTATATATATATATATATATATATATATATATATATATATATATATATATATATATATATATATATTGGTCAATGACGTAACCAGAGCCAGCAGTACATACGCTAATTTGATAACTCGTGTATGATCCGACCCCCTTAAAATTAGCTTCAAAATTAGGTCTTTAATAGTCACATGATACGTATACACGGTACATATACAAAATCATTCATAGTCTGTACTACGCTGCAATAAAGATGTATTAAATGCCTCTTTCCATGTCGTGCGAAGCAAGTACAAACACTCAGCCGAAAATTGAGAAACTGGAGAGGCTTGCGTTGAATGTCTACACAACAAATAATCTGCTAAAAAAGAATCGATATCAGCAAAAGTAAATCTGAATAAAATCCTTAAAAATCCCACAAATTAATGCGAATGATCTCACATATTGTACGAGAACGGTTCGTGGTTTTATTTAAAATAAAAGAACAATGCTACCTCTTTTATATACGTAAAAACGTATATAATTTAAAACATATATCAAGGTGAACAGAGTTTCTGCCAATAAAGTGCTCAGTAGTTGTTTAACAACAATAGATATAGAAACACCTTTCCGAGTCAACTTTGAGTTTCGTAATTTCTTGCTCGTCACTTTAGATATGAATGAATGTGTCGGAGTTAACTCGTCTTTAATTTGCTCATTGTTCATTAGGGGACGTTTTCCCTACACTATAAATACTGGGCGATTTCTTGCCTTGTTCTCTTTTTACTTTGCATTTCAGCGGACACATTTACAAAATGTGATCTCTCGTCATGAAACACACATACACGTACGTACGAACATTCACCAAAATACAAACTCTTTACGTTCACACACAAACACAAATGTTAATGTCTATGTCCATTGTAAATTTTGTTGTTTAATACATATACTTGTTTGTATATATATATATATATATATATATATATATATATATATATATATATATATATCTTATTGGTCTTGTTGGTTTTCTTTACACTTCTTTATGGTGGATTCAACCTCTGAGTCTCTCATGTTCTTATAGTGGACCTCCTTCTAGCAGGAATAAACGCTCGTGTTCCTAATTTAACAAAACGTAAACCCACACGGTCCGCTACAAATGCATAATTTTATAAACGATGAGCTTTTTTCTCTACTGCCTCATAATTGGTTTTTATTCCTTCACATTTTCTTTGTTTTTGTTTTGTTTTTATTTAGTACAAGATCAATTCTTGGAAATAATCGCTGGGAAGATTGTCTTGTGTCAGTTTTCTGAGTGAAAGCATCCCAAGTTGTTAACCAGTATGCACTCTAAATTCGCATCTTGCGTGATTTTGAAGCAGGGTTGTCAATTTAGCTCTTTTCAGTGAATTCAGCTAATATAAATCAGCATCTAGCTTTTTTTTCGAGTTAATATTTCATAAAAAAAACATGATGATTTACAGGCACTAAATGCAAAGAAAAAGTGCTAAGTCTAATGACAAAAAACTAAATTGGTAAATTGTTTTTACCACTGCCATGTTTTGTGTGGAGGGGATATCTACTAATATAACCATCAAAATAATGAATGAAATCGGCTATTTTATGGCTGGACTTTTAGGTATTTTACTATTACACCTATCTCATCACCGATTATTATTTTATGCTCTTTAAGTAGTCAACTGGTAATGATGGTGAAGTAAGGACCAATTTGATCATATACATTAGGTTTTTAAGGGAGACTGATGTAATAGTAAACATTTACCTCTTTTTTTTAATACTCCTTTAAAACCAATTATAAAAAAAATGACTTCGAAATAAACTAGATAAACGAAAGATCCATGACAAATTAATCAAAACTGTACATTTTCCAGATTTTTAAATTATATATTTGGTCAACCTGTAGTATGATTTTCTGGTACTTTTCACTCTGGTAACATATCCCCTGACAAATCGACCATCGTGAAATTCCAACCCAGATTTAACATTCTAACAACTCTGCCACACGCCAATTCCAACATATTGTTTACCGTTAAACTGACCGCCATCAACTGTCTCCCTTGACTACTTAGTGGAGATGGCGGATAATACCAGTTATTAGAAACTCAAGTTTTAATTATTAATTTAGACTAAAACGTATACTGTCAATTATTTATTTTTACCCTATTTTAAAAACGTTTTAGATACGTTGATCGATAAAATTAGAACCTGTTAAAAAAGTATCCTTTTACGGATGTTAAATTTTCTCAAGAGGAATTTTTCGGACACGTAACAGATTTAATAATCTGGAAATTTAATAAACTCTTCAAACGTTATCGTAGTACATGGGTTCACATATTGGTTAATTTGCAGTTTAGCACCCGCATTCAGTTCGCATTAAACATTTTCAGAATACTTACATTTATGTGTAATTGTACATGCTTGATAAAATCTACCGTTTTGGAATTATCGACAAAAAAAGTTCGGATTCATTCGCGTCGCGGGCAGCCATTACTGGCGTTGTCTGCATACATTAGCTGCAGAATAGCTATTAGTGTGTTTATCACTTTTCTTAATTATTGCGCACGCATTGCGCAAACTGGACACTCAATGCACATGAGCATGTGTACGTAAATAGTTCTCGTGCGCAATAATTGAGACAAATTTAGATAAGAAAGATCAGTTCCACGCTTAGATTTCCGTAGTTTTCCGCACTTAGCTTTCTGCGGCAAATGTATGCAAACAACGACAGTAATGGCTGCTGCCAACGACGGAAAATAATTCAAACTTTTACTGTCGATAACTCCAAAACGGTAGATTTTATCAAATTTAACAAGCCAGTTTCGAATGAAGCATGTAAAATTACATATAAATGTGAAATTCTGAAAATTTTTAATGCGAACTGAGCGATGGTGCTAAACTACAAATTAATCCATATATTAAGTTATTGTGCTAATAGCTTTTATTAATTATTTTATAGAATTCAATATGCATTGCAGCATTTATTGTGACTTATTAGCCCGCATTTAATTGCCTAGCATTTTCAGTTCCATTTTGTTTTCATAATGTTCATACCACTTAAAATACTTTCACCTTCAGAATTTGAGTGGGACAACAGCACTATCATTTAAGTTAAAAATAAATTATTGCAAACACCTTAGAAGGATTACATCCAGAGGCTTACTTATTATAATATTTCACCCCAACACCCGAAATTATCAGTTTTGTTCTTTGTCTATTAAATTCAGTTTTGACCACCAAATTTCAGCGACAGGCATATTATCCTCATCAAACTAATAATGATTTCTTTAATTAGATTTTAAGCAGGCATACGCAACCTTTTTCAAATACTGGGACGCATGTGATAAGTTTATTGCGGGGCCAACAAGGGTGTCGACACCACAAGCAAATTTGTGTTCAAAGAAAGGTATGAACAGCCGAGACAATTATGGGGCAAAAGGCGAGGCACAGATACTACACACTTGGTATTTACTCTGTCTCCCCACTAAGACGAGTTGTGACACAAGATCTTTTTTAAGGTGGGAACCCGAGCGCGTACACCCTAGACAGGAACAAAAATTGCCCGCAGCCCCCGCAACCGTCGGTTGCGCTAGCCTCGGTGCGAGCACCGATCCCTCTCTCTGGTGCAATGAGAGGGCACGAACTCGGGCAGCTGTTCCCCAGAGCTGGGCACCTCCCATTATAATTTTTCTCAGTTGCGACTCTGTGCTTTGATGGAGTCGCCCCTGAGTGCACTCTGCCCAAGACAGAGACGCAACTGAGAGATGATAAATGGATGTGTTACAAAACCACTCATGAGAGAGGTTATCCCCCGAGAAGCTGCTTTTTCGTCGAAAAGAGGGGCCAAATTTATGTCCATAACGTTTGTTCATTTACTCCCTGGCTACTTACTGGGAGTAGAAAACTCTAAATATAAAAATACTCCGAATGCTGTCCGTATGTTGGTTAACACTCCCATATCCGATGTACATAACGGTATGTTTCTAACTCAAAATATATCGGGATAGTTGTTTAATTGTTAATTAACTGCTGATTTAATTCAAGTTGTATTTTTGTTTTTTACGGACGGAGATTCTCATACATGTGTTGATAAAAGCTTCGTTCAATCTTGAACACCAAATGGAATTACTATGTGATCAACACCAAAGTCTTGGAAAGAGTCAAGAGTCAAAACCTCGAATCGTTGATCATTAAATACCGTCTTCGATGGTCAGGACATGTAGCATTATGTCTGACTATAGAACAAGAAAAATGAAATAAGCACATAGCGATGAATAACTGATTATAAATTTCCGGACATTATACATTTTCTTCTCGGATGACTTTATTTATATCATAGGTCCCTTCGTGTATGTGGTATTGTGGTATATATAGGAGCAAAAGATGAAGGATATCTTCTTTTGGTATATGTGTTATTTGTATTGATTGAATGGATCGTGAATCGGATTAGCTAGGTATAGAATAGTTAGTTATGACCAGCCTCAATCCACTCCCCACTTTTTTGGTCATGTGCAGCAATT